ACTGAAACTGGCACCGGTGGCGACCACATACCATTACCTTAGCTGGCTACAAACTCCAATCTTCAATCAAAACTGCTGCGCGGCAGTGGAGACTAGCAACTTAAGAGCATATAATTCGCACCGGCCTGGGGATCTTACCCAACCGCTTTCGTCTCAAGCTTCCGCAGCGATTTTGTGAGCTCTCAGCCCGCAGCCAAAAAGCTCCGACCTCGTATTATGTGCTTCAAAGCCTTCGTAATCGAGTTTCTTAGAAAATTTGTCCAAATATTTTCGCTGCCAACAAGAGTTCCCCCTCAGCGTTGACGTCAATTACATGCCAACGTAACCGACGAAAAGTCGAAACCACACAGGCAGTTAGGCACAAAGACTGCGCAACAAGTAAGGTTTATCTCAGTGTTATTGTTATTATTGTTGTGTCACCGGAGGAATGAAATTACGTTCCAACAAAACCGCTTATCAGAGCTTATTCAATTAAAAGGAAAAATAAATAAATTTACAGAAATTAACTTCAACACAATTAAGTACACAGAAGGAGATGAGCTCGCGTAATTCGCCGTAAAAGAGCGTGCGTACGCTGATATTTGCACGACGGCTGTCAAGTAGTTAGTGTAAGCCGAAAGACGGCAGTTGACGGCAGCGACTAGTGGCCGAGCCGTGAAGTGAACGGTAGGCGCAGACAGGCGGCTCTGGACGTCAGCGTGAATGCGAACCGTAGCGCTTGGCGACTGCTGCGCAGCGCTTCATAGTTGCTGAGGCGGGTGTAGGCAAGGCGCATGGAGCTCATTTGCATTTCATTACAAAAAACCGCTGATCGCCGGCTCAAAACTGCTGCACGAGGAGTACACCTACGCAGCTGCGATAACTCGTAAAGTGATTTTTAAACTACTCGAAGCTTATACCGCACGTCTGCAGCGTCCAAGTATTACACAATAAAATAAGCAGCTCATAAAGTGGCAGCGCAGACATTTATTTACTCACATATTTATGCGAAAAAAAAAAATTCCTCTCTTCGCCGCACATGACATTGGTCGCCGCTTCAACATGACAGCAGACGCCCCTTCTTGCCGCACTCGCACCCAACACACACACCGGCCACACACGGATTGCGCTGCTGTCCGACGCTGCACTTTACGCCGCCAGCTATGGCCATTTATCATCGCCACTGTCGAACTGTGCGCTTGTATGTGAGCTTCGGATATAAGCGATTGCTATCACAGCCCATCGACCAAACTACCAACCGACACTCACCAAGTTCGCCCGTCAGCGGTGGAGGTGTGTACGATCATGCGCGTCACTCTAATTGCTGTCAAAATTTTTTATTTTTCCTTTTGCACAGTGCGACTGACGTCAAAGCGCATCGCCGACCGCACCGTGCCACCTGTTCGACGGTAATGCGCCATTGCGCTCCGCGCTATACGCCCTCCACAAGCAATGCATGGATTTCATTTTTCAATTCACATTGGCATTTCGCAACGCTCTTGGCGTGTCTAATTGATTGCTGCGTCGCCTTAGCGGATCGTATGTCAGAAAAAAAAAAAAGAAAAGCGAAAAAAAGCTCGAAAAGATACAAGCGATATCTGCTAATTAATCTACGCCCATAAATATGGACGTTTGATTAAATCATCGCACTGAGAGAGTGGAGAAAATATCTATATGTATTTGCGATAAACAAAAAAGAAAAATATAAAAAAAATAAATAAATAAAAATAAGATAAAATAAATAAATAAATGTTTCACACAAATTATCGCGCAAAAAAAGTGAGCTGACGCTATTTCCATCATTTATGACCGCTATTTTCGTCATTTAACCAATCAAATATCGACTTATCAGCTCAGCGCTGTTATCGAAGTCTGCGAGTCATAAAACCGCAACGCAGCTGTCAAAATTGTTGGTTATTATTAATTTCGTGTATTTCGCCCGCCTGCCGCCAAGGTAATTACACTACAGCGTGTATGTACTACAACTACAACAAATGCTTGTTTGTTGTTTAATTTTTTTTTTTGGTTTTTTTTTTTTTTTGAATTCGAAAAACAACTTTAATTAGAAATTTCGATGAAAATGTTGTCGATTCGCAGCCTTGAGGTGCCGTAGCTACGAGCAATAATTCCAAAAATATAACGGACTGATAAAAATAACACATAAATAAGAGAAATGGAAACATGAAAATCACATTAATATTAATTAATAATTAATTAAATAATGTGGTTTCGAACATCTCCATAATTTTATCAAGCCTCCAAAGGTTGGTTCAGGAAGCAGAGCCTCAAAGCAAGCAATTCCTGAAATGACTTAAACTCGACTAGGTTTGAAAGTTCAAAAATTAAATAAAAATAAATAAATTAATAAATAAAAATTGTTTCTTTTTTTTAATAATTCGATTTTCCTCCCAAATTCGAAATTTATAACAAACCAGTAGTTTCAAAAGCAGAAAATTTGAAGTTTGATCGGCTATATCCTGGCATGAAAATTCTTTTCCTTTGTTTAAAAATTGCCGAAATTCAATGATCCTCATTTTTTATACGCTTTTTCCACCAAAGTGACTGAAAAGATCTCGATGTAGTAGATCTTTCGTGATAGAAATACCAGCGACCTCTTGTTGAAAAGCCCACAGCAACTCACTCATCATTTTCGTTAGCTAATAAATTTCTTCTTTCCCGATTTTTGATACTAAAGCGACGAAGAGGCGATCCTTCTTATTCGTTGTATAATTAAAAAAGATTAGTGATCCTCGAGGAGAAAGGTCCGATTTCAACCTTTAAGATCCCAATGTAGTTCTTTGGCATTGAAAATTCCAGCGATGATTTTATCAATTTCATCAACGAATCATATTTTTCTTTCTCGATTTTCGGCACTAAAGCGACGATGATCCTCTTTTTTCGTTAGAAAATTAGAAAAAGTTTACTAGAAAGCTCTCAGTAGCTATTTCGAAGCTTCTAAAAACAAATAAAGCACACTTTCCACGAGATTATCACGGAATTGACAAAGAGATCTCGGTGATCTTCGAGAAAAAGGTTAAGTTTTCTTGCTTTAAAACTTCGCCATCGAGCTTACGCGTCCGAAATTTTACCAATTTTTTGTTGAGAAATCCACATTAACTAATAATTACTAATGGACAAAAAGATCAGTGATCGTCGATGGATTAACCGAGATACTAACGATCTGCCAATACTTATATGAGCTCAAGTTATCAACGATCTCTCCTCTATCTTTAATAGCTCGAACTTGAGTATGAATTCTGTAAAGCAATGCCTTTATGAATTCCAAGTCAGTTAGAGTTCCAGCGATCAGCGATCGTGCAATACCTCTGAAAGCTTTGAGGATTTTTGAGCTCTTATGATTAGCGATCTTTATATACTTAAAAGAGCTCCAAGGGCGTGTGAGCTCGAGAGAAACGTGATCTTCCATTACCCCAAAGAGTTCAAAGTGAGTGTGAACTCGTGCCATCAGCTATTTTGCATTACTTATAAGAATTAGAAGTGGTTATGAGCATAAAAAACCTCTGTGATCTTACATTAGCTGCAAGAATTCTGAATTGAAATTGAGTTCGTGAGATCAGCGATATTACTATTCCTATAAGAGATCGACGGCCAGGAACTTTGTACGACCAACATCCAAAAAACAAATTTTCAAATTGCGTTCGCCCCTCCGCAGGTAATGTCAACTCCTCCGTGTGTATTTCGTACATGAAATAATTGCTCCTCGTAAAAACCATCAGCCTTTCGGAGGCGGCTTAGTATAAACTGTAGGTCCCTCTATTTGTAGGAAAACACATCAAGATGCAAAGGCACAAATTGAAAGTGGAGCTCGGCTGAAAATCGCTTCAGCGCTATATGTATTGTATATAAAAAGACGAAGTGCACTTATGATCGAGTGATGAGCGATCTTATAATACTTTTATGAACTCGTAGAGAGTATGAGCTCTAGCGATCAATGATGATACAACATTTTTAAGAGCTCAAAGTGAGATTGAATTCGAGAAATATGCGGTCTTCTAACACCTTTAGTGACTCAAAGTCAATTTGAGTCTCTGCGATCAGCGATATTCAAGGATGATCTAAAAGAGCTCGCTCATGGTATGGCTTCCAACACACAGGGATTGTCAGAACTATCAGCGATGTTTCAATGCTGTTAAGAGCTCGAACGGCGATTACGAGCTCAACGTTAATTCAGCGATCTTCAACTGCCTCAAAGAGCTCAAAATGAGTGCGAGCTCAGGAAATCAGAGATCTTACACGTTCAGAAGCCCGTAAATGTCGGTCGTAATATTTCAAACGAGAAAAAATCCCAACCAAACGTCAGCCACCTCCCCCCGCCCAACTCGCACAGCCCACTGAGTTAAGAAATAAACATTTTTTACACTATAATTTATTAGCTTATTTTTTAATATTCTTAGAAAATTAATTTATTTTCGTTTACCGAAAATTTCTTATATACAAATACAAATATAAATATGTTTGTATGTAACATACATATCAACAACTAAATTATATACCATAATAATACCAACAACATGGCACGCCATGGCATGGCATGATAAAATACATACATATGTTTGATGTATGTTTGCATGTGGTGTGTGGTGATAAGAAAAAATGGCAACAATTCGAAATGGAAGGTTCATGGTATGGAATTTTCTATGATAACAGTACTTTTTTTTACTACTATTTTTTCCACTTAAATATTTGCTAATTTACGAACGTATTTCGATATAATTATATATGTATGTATGTATGTACATTTAAAAAAAAAAATTTTTATATAAATATGTGTATATATGTATGTATGTGAAGCGTGTTTGATTGCGCAACGCTCCCCACACACACACATACACACACACATGCACACACATAAACACGCGCAAAAGCTGTAATAAATCATAAAGACTTTATAGACAGATAAATAAACTCCTAAAAGGTATGTATGTGTGTGTGTATGTACGTACATACTGGTGTCAGCAAAGCAAATATTAATACAAATAACAATAAAAAAATAAAAAATAAATAAAAATAAAAAAATTAAAAATAGAAAAAATGGGTTAAAAATGAGCCTCAACGATAAGATAAATTGAATTAAAACTGTATATCACTCTTACTCCTCGTTTTCTTCCCTCTCTCACACACTGCCACTTGCCACGGCTCACCAAACACTGGCTCAGCTCATATGACGACTTACGACTAACGGAATAATAATCACTGTCTAATATACACACAAACATTTGACTACATATATGTACATGTATATCATGCTACCACATAACGGTCTTTTGCATTTCAAATATACAGTTATACACTAAAAATTAACAATTTCTTGCTTTTACATAACAGTTCTTTGGGATTTTTTTCGTATTTTTTTTTTTTTTTTTTTTTTTTTTTTTTTAACATAAAATACTTTTTCTCTTAATTCTCTTGAGATTTATTTTTGTGACTTCAATAGTTAATCTTTTCGCTCAAGCTCTCTCCAATGGGCACCACCAAACCTACCTTCTTTCCTGTTGTTGGCTTCGCATCCAAATGCTGGGCGGCGAGCAGCTCCGAAATATCCTTGGACTCCGCCTGTGGATCTTCGTGTATGGTGAAGGTCTCCTCATCGGCGCTCACGGAGCATGTTGAGCAATCGCTGGCCTTCCGTTCCAACGCGGTGCGTATGCCATTAACATAGCACTCGGCGCCATCCAATGCGGATATGGTGGAACCACAGTAGTATAGATTGCTGCAGGACGAAGAAGCGCTCACATCGCATTCGCCTTCGCCTTCGTTCGCTGTGTCCAGTGAGGAGTGACGTCGACGCATACGCTGAGCGCGTAAATATTCGATTTCCTCGAGCGTAATGCCGCACAAAATTTCATCCGAGTAGTCGGAGACGACAACGGATGGCGTGCGCACGAAACGTTTGCCCACGGGGAACTCAGTTGGCATGGTGTCACTGGCGCAGCTCTGTGCAGATTCACGACGCGAACAGGGCAGTGACGGCGCCAATGTACGTGGATCTTCTGGCAGCTCAACAACGCGCTCCTCTAACAGCACCTTGCTCGGCACCGCCACCGGTTCGGGTGGTGGATTGCACAATGCTTTTGGTGGTAGCTCGATGAGCGTTGTGTCGGGCAGTGCAGTGGGTTCGGCTAATGGCAGTAACGCTGGACGCAATGGCAAATCGGTCACGGTGAGTGTCATGCGACGTTGTTGATTGCCTGCAGCGGCGCCTACGGGTGGTTGTGCAGGTGCTGTATCCATGCACTCGTCCACATCCAAATCGACCGCTGAATCGCTGCTGGCCGTGCGCACAACTTTCCCCTTGCGCTTGATGTGCTCCACGGCATTTCGGGCTCTGCCTTTTGCTATTTCCGTCGTGTCCTCGCTATCTGAGGAATAAGGACTCTGGCCGAGATTGCAACCCTCATCGGAGATGGGACTGTTGCGTAGCTCTAATGTGTCGGGTTTTAAGTTTAACATATCGATGTCTGTGTGCTCGCACGTTTTCTGTGGTTGCACAATCATTCTTTTCCGTTTAGTCTTCGTAGTCTGTCTCTCGAATCTTTGTACTAAGTCTTCGACCTTAACTGCGCCAATTAGCTGGTGTTTCTGACTGCGGTAGGAACTTTTCGGCGTTGAGTGTTGCTCGAATTTCTGCGTTAAAGCTAATCTGCGTTGCGCCACTAGTGAGTCAACCTCTACTGGTTGTACGTCAATTCTGGGTAATCCTTCGGCAGCTGTGTACGCCGATTGCTGGTTCGCTCTAGGCGACGACTTGTCTATCTTCGCACTTTGTGTCTTGCAAAAATCTTTACACGAAATTCTCTGAGTTTTCACTGCGCCACAAATGTCTGTGAGTGACGTGGTCTGCTTTGAGTGTGGGCTCACTAGCTCGTGCACTTGGAAAATCTTGAAGAAATCCGACTTCAGTTTCGCCTTCCGTGCGGCTAAATTCACTGTGCTCACGGTGTCCTTACTGCGACTGTTGGTGGTGGTTGTGTCTGCGTGTGCGCTTGTCTTGTAGGCAGGATCATATTCTGTACTAACTGAACTCACTTCAGTTGGCGGCCACTCGTTGCTCGGCACTCGGTTGGTACTAACGCTGGTACTATTTCTCTCACTTTGCTTGTTGTTGCTTTCGCTTGATATAGAATTATTGCTGTTGACAAGCTTACGCTGTTGCTCCGTTGCTGGTATCGTACTGTACGCTTCAACTTTTCTCTGATTACTAACATTCGTTAGCACACCCAACGGACATTTATTTTCAGTGAATTTTGATTTCGTATCTACCGTCGCCGTCAACGCGACCCCTTCCACCTGCGACGCCGTCGACGATATCCGCGCACTTGACGTAGACGTCAAACGAGCCGACGCCGAGTGTACAGGTCGTCGGGTAGTAGTAGCAAACGAGTGTGCGGCCTCCCCCGCCATAACCGTCGCTGACGCAGCTGTGCTGGTGTTTGTCATCGTCGCCACCGTTGTTGTAGTGGTAATGGTAGTGCTTGTTATGTTTGTTTTTTCCTTCGTTAATTGCCTCAGCGCACATGTCGCGCTCGCTGCATTGACGATGGCTGGCGTACGTGTATGCGTTTGTCGTGTAACTGTCAATGCCAGCGCAGACGACGCCGTGTGTTTTGATGTTGTTGTCGCTATTTTTGTGTCCGCTGTTTTCTTTGTTGTGCGTCTCTTCACGTCGCCAGCCGGCGCAGTGGCTGTGGCACGTTTGTCGCTGGTACTTAGCGCTGAGTGTGGCGGGAAGCCAACATCAATAATGCGAGCATACTCAACAACGCAGCTCCAGGCAGGCAACTCATCTCCCTGCGCTGATTTATGTTTGGCTGTGTCAATTACTTTACAATACTCATTTGGGTCCGCACACACAGCGGACAATGTAGTGGACGGTGTAGGCGTGGAGGGTAACGCATCGGTCGGTACGCAGCCCACCGTGTGCTCGGACGCACTTCCGGCTATTGTGGCAGTCATTTTCGATTTATGTGCGGTAGAAGCTTGGGGCGATTTACGCGCCGCACTTGCGCTTTTAGTGCGTACACGTTGCGCTGAAGCTGCTCTGGCCGAATTAGGCAGTTGGTGGCTGATTGTTGTTGTAGGCACGGTTTCACTCGTAGAATCTGTTGATCCAAGTGCGCTCGTTTCGGTACCGCGCCCAGTGCTATTACTGGCCATGCTTTGTGTCAACAATTGTGGGCATTTGATAGACGCCTTTGAGGCGCTGACTTGCTTACAATAATTATTTTTGCTTTTGTTATTGTTCTTTGTGGTAGTTTTGTTCATTCCTCTGCCATTGTATGCATACGCACTGGAGAGTGCGTTCGCGCGTTCGTTTTGCTTTTAATTTCTGCTCAACTGATCTTCAAGTTGATCGTGGCCGGTCTTTAGTGCTTAAAACGTGCAGTTAGCTGAGCGCAAATGACGTCAAGCGATAAGTTTACGTGACGCACATGCAACCCCACACCAATCAAGCGCTGCGGTTGTTTTTGCCTTTCTTATTGCCTTTCTTGTTGCTAGTAATGAGAATTTTCCCAACAGCCATGGAGCGTTTGACGCAGCAAAGACCATCGACCGACCGCAAGCACAAAAACCCGCACTGACGCACAACGCTCACCACGTCGCCAGACAATTGGACGCTCCGCGACGCAAAACGCTGCTTTGATTGATGATATTGACGGCGCGCGTTGTGTAATTTATGAGGTGTAACTAACAAGTCACCTCGAGCGGTCGAGTAGAGTCAATATTTAAAAGCCTTTTCGTTTAATTTTTTATTAAATCATTTTTTTTTTGCTAATTAACATGGAACCGCTTGCTGTGACGTTGAGCGTTGAACATTTAACGACAAATCGATGAGTCGCGCTGATCTGGCGCTGAGATACGCAAGCTGGCGGAAGACACGTAAGTTATTCTACGATTACGCTTGTGCTGAGTAGAATGAGTAATGCGCTTACACATGCAGATGTTTGCATGTATGTGTGTACTCAGATCTAATTAACACTTCTTGGAACGCAAATTGTCTGTTTTACGTGTCGCGTGCGTCACTTGTAGATCGCGCACTCTGTTGCACGTAATCACCAGCGGACAACATATGTATGAGTATGCTAGACTCCATAAATATATGCATATGCATGTATGTATGCACGACTCATCGCGAGACGATCTCTCGATCAATCGCGCCACGTAATACGCTCCGTTGTTGTCCGCGCGTCAATAATGGATCACCTATGTCGAGTGCTGTTGACCTTAACGCGCCCGGTTGCTAGTACAACAGCAGGAGCTTCGATAAACTCACTATCGCGTTTTCGGCGCTTCGGTCGCGTTGTATTTTTTTAGAAATAACACTTTGTTGTTGCTAATTTTCGCACTCACTGCTACGTTGCCTTTTCTTTTTCTTTACTTTGCACTTGAAATTTTTGTACTAAGCCTGTTTACAATGCCGATAGCCGCTGCGTTTCCATTTGACGTAGACAGAGTGCATCGTGGCTGTAAATAGAAATGGAACATATAAATAGTGATTAGTTATGTACATATGTATGTATAAATATTTTTATTTTATTTTATTATTGTATATATACATATGTTTATATATACATATGTATATTTGTACATATATATAGAAAATTAGGTGCAGTGCAGCAGCGTTAGTACGAGTTCTATCACCCGTAATCATTGGAAAACATCATAAATTCATAAAAATATCAAAAAAGCTGTTTCACCTATTTGTGCGCTCTGTTATTGCCTACGCTACTACTACGCTAATCTACTTTCGCATCTTCGCTCTTTCTATTTCATTTAACTTTATATTAGTTTTGATTTAAGTTTATTTATTTATTTTTATTTTATTTTATTTTATTTTATTTTATTTTATTTTATTTTATTTTATTTTATTTTATTTTATTTTATTTTATTTTATTTTATTTTATTTAATTTAATTTAATATATTTTGTTATATTAATTTATTTTGTTTTGTTTTTTTAGTTTTAATTAAGTTTGTTTAATTTTGATCAATTCATTTCATTTTATTTCACTTCATTCCATTTCATTTAATCTAAATTTATTTAATTCTTTTATTTTGCATTAATTTATATTTTTTTTTCGTTTTTTTCATATTTCCTTGTATTATAACAATTTTTTTTATTTTTGGTTTTCATATTATATTTGCGTTTCTCATTTTTTTATTTTATTACTTCTCATCGTGTAGCTTATCGTTTATATTATCTACCGGCAATTATGTGATTTCTCAAGTGCTCTTTGGTGTTATTGTATGTATGTTTTTTTTTGCGTTTATTGCTTCAATATTTCTGTAACCGAACGCCACTTGTTTTAGTCGGTTATATTTAGTTTGTTCAGAAAATATCATAAAGCATAAAGATTTCCCTTGCTGGTGTGATAACACCGTTCACACAGGGACTCAATTAGCTAACTGGGCCCATTTAGACAATTAAACAGCTAATTCCAACTTAATTACCGTAGAAGAAACTCAAACAATTAGTCATTAGAGACAGTTCGGCACTAATTATTTAAACTTAATTAAATATGAGTGTGAACATCAACTCCGTCTCGACGATTGGTTGGAATCTGATGGAGTTAAGTGTGCTCGCTGTCAACCCGATTATTGAATATAATATTAGATAAGCAAATATTAATTATTTCATCATGATTGCTTTTTGTGTATGTGTGAACACCAAACTCTTAACTATCCTCAACCCGTTAGTTGTTCCAAACCCTCTGGAGGCTATGAGTTCGCTACCTGAAAACATATTCTAGAATTTGACAGTTCGTGTTATGCGGTGGTTCTATTCATGTCTGTTCTATTTCATAGTTGAAACACAAAATTTTTACCCAACCTGATGCTTTAATTGTTAATTTAGCGTCTTCTGTGTGTACACCAAGGGGTATAAGTAATTTAGACTTTCCTGGAGATAAGATCACTGAAGTATATTTCTTCTTGGCTGTGTGTGTGTGAAAGCCTTAAAATATCAATTTTATTCAGTTCTCCATTTTGTCTACATTAAACCCCGCCTTACTTGCTTTATATTATTTTCTTTTATTTTCTTTTATTTTTTACATTTTTTACGTCCTGCCTACTGACGTAAATGGGATTTTTTTTATATGAAAATGTTTCAGCACTTTTTTCATTCATTCACAATTTGTATTTTGTTATTTTTTATTGCTTTTGTTAGGTGTGTACAAGTATTAACTTGTTGTTTTTTTATCTCAACACTTGTTTTTTTTTTTTGCTGTTTGTTGTCTATCAATTTGCACCCCAAAAAAAAGGTTTATAAGTTGATTGAGTCCATATTATTGCCATCTGCAGTTCAAAAACACGTACAGCCCGCCATTCATGCACTAAATACAATACATAAGTATATATATATATATGTATTAACCTGTAAATATGTACAATGTACAATGTGTACATGGATATACTCGTATGACTGATAAAATGTTTGTTTTTCTCTCTAATGTTGCCAACTGCAAGCGCAAACACAGCCGGGATTACTCTTTAGCCCAGAATGATCTTCAGCGATTTCGCCATATTTAGACTTGTTGTGGTTGAAAAACACGCTCACGCGTACGCATTCCAATTACTTATGACGTTATCAGTTTATGATGTGGAAAATTTCTCATTCATTTTTATGATGCAGACGAAAAAACATTATGATCTGCTGCTTAATCACGCTTAATTGAGTTGAAATAGAGCAAGTCACTTTCACTTTGGACGGAGCTGACTTGCGATTTTGGAATCATAGAAAATATTTTTCGAAGATGTCTCAGTAAAAATGGCTGAGCTCAGGTAGCCTAGGGCCACAGCGTAGTGGGCTGTGGACGGCCCAAGTTTTTTTTTTTTGCTAGCTGCGAATACCCAATAGAAAAGGGCTCGGCTTAAAAGGTTAAAAGAGGCCCAATGAAGCTCCGGTGGCGAGGTAAATAAACATCCACATAGCACAACCTCGAGGGAATACCTACCCAAGAGAGGGAGGCAACAGAGCGACGTGAGACGCTACAACGGAACCCGTTGCTCATAAATTCCCAAATGGTATTCATTTATACAAATGCTTGGGAAAGAACAACCACCGCGTGAGTGCCCATAAGGATCGAGACCAGTAAGATCCTGATTAAGATATACTGGAAACATCTTTACGAATAAGTTAGCTTTTGGGCTGGTAAGAGTGGTATTCTGTCACTTTAGAAAGCAAGTGTAAAACCTTGCTGAAATGGCTGGCAGGCTAATGCCACAATTGCCGTCGTCTCGTTAAAACCCTGACAGGTCTCCAAGTACTTTCAAAGCACGTCGCATTAATTTGGCCGTACTGGTTCAGTTGAGATAAGCTCCTGACTAGCGCTGGCTGGCTCTGAAAAACAAGCTTCCACGAGGAATTGTGTCAACCCTTGCGAGCATCTACAACATACGTAGACACTCTTGGGCACCTCGTCAGAGCGACTGTACAACATGCGGATATAGCGGCTTGGAGCGGAGACCCATGAAAAATTAACGCAACAATAACTCCAACAAACAAAAACAACATCATATGTAGAGGAAAAGGAAGCTTTTTGAAGAACTAACTAAGGATTTTTCATCAGCTCCAAAGATAGAGAGAGGGAGAAAGAAATGAATAAGAAGGGAGAAATGAATAAATTAAATTAATGAAATAGAAGCATTAGATCAAATAAGAAACTAAAATAAAACATATCAAAAAAATAAAACAAAAAAATTTAAAATAAGTAAAATCAAATAAAACTAAACTAAATAAGATAAAATAAAATAAAATGAAAAAACTAAATTAAATAAAGCAAAATAAAATTAAATTAAATAAATTCAAACAAAATAAAATAAAATTAAATCGAATATTGGATGAGTGCATAAGTTCGTGCCCGATTCCGAAGTTCGAACCGTTTGAGAGTGGCGCTCGTGAAAGAAATATATACATATTATATGTCGTTGGAAAGGTGACAGTCCGAACTGTAAATCAAGCATCAAATAACTTCATCTCGATTTGAGTTGCTTAGTGAAAAGACGCATGAAAGATGGACAACGAAAAAGATCATATGCGTCATATTATGTTATACGAATTCCGCAAAGGAAAAACAGTAGGCGCTGCAACTAAAAATATTCGCGAAGTTTATTTGGACCGTGCTCCAGCACTCTGCACAGTAAAGAAATGGCTCACGAAATTCCGTTTTGGAGATTTTAACCTCGAAGATCAACCTGAAGGTACTGCTGTGCATTTGGTGGGATATCCGAGGCGTGATCTATTTTGAGCTCTTGCCAGCTGGAGAAACGATCACTGCCAACAAATGTTGTTAGCAATTGGTCGAATTGAAGAAAGCAATTGATGAAAAACATCTGATTTTGGCCAATCGCAAAGGAGTTATTTTCCATCATGGCAACGCCAGGCCACCTGTTGCAAAACCGACCCTGGCCAAACTGAAGGAGATGAATTGGGAAATCATGCCGCATCCCCCATATTCTCCCGACATTGCACATTCTGATTATCATTTGTTTCGATCGCTGCAGATCAATTTGAATGGAAAAAAATTTAAAAATGTGAAAGACGTCAAAAACCACCTTGACACCTTTTTCAACGAGAAACCGCGCGATTTCTATGAATCAGGCATCCGTAAATTGGTTGAACGTTGGGAGTTGATTGCCAAACATGATGGCGAATCGTAATTGATTAATAAAAGCGCTTTCTTCAAAAATTCCAATTTTAGTTTGCACTTGAAATCGGGCACGAACTTATGCACTCATCCAATAGAACAAAACAAATTAAAAAAAAATTAAAACAAAAAAAATAAAATTAAATAAATGAAATTAAATCAAATAGAACAAAACCAAAAAAAAAAAAAAAAAGATTTAAACTAAAAAAATTAAAATAATATAATAAATAATAATTATAAAATGAAATAAAACAAAAGAAAATAATATAAAATGAAAAAAATTAAAATAACAATAATAAAGTAAACAAAAATAATAGTAAATATAATAATACATTTTTAATGTATTTATTTATGATAATTACGGTAATTTCAATGGGAAAAAAACTAAAATTTCAATTATTTTTCACTTTGACTAACAAAAGATCGTTTATCGATTTTTAACGATCCAACCAAAATTGACGCGGCTCGACAGTTAATAAAACTTGCCAATAATGGTAAAAAGACCACCCACAAACCGCCCGCAAGTAAGATATTTTCAAAGCACAATTTAACAAATATTTTTTTTTTTTTTTTTTTTTGTAAGGCAATGAGTTTTCGTTTCGTCCGCTGGTAACCTCTTACTCTGCAAATATTTCTTTTTTTTTTAGCCGGCCGAGATTCCATTGACTTAAATGATGTCATATGTGCTGTTTATAAGCGTATACAGATATGTATATAAATGTATATACAAATGCGTAGGTATGTGCTTGTAAGATTTGTGTCATTATTAACCGGAACGTTAATTAACGACATTCATTTCATTTCGCGTAATTTAATTGCAA